ATCAAAGCGCGTAAGCGCCGCATAGACGTCTAACGTGTAAACATTGGTACGAAACCCAATATAAAAATTTGTACTCATTATTATAATCTTTATAAAATATCTGATAATTCGATGTGCATATGTCTAATGTTCATTTTTGAACGCCAAATGGCATTTTATTTTACTTTTTTTCGCTAGATCTCTGAACCGCTAGACCTGCCTTTCCAAAAATTTAATCAGTTCATCTTGTTAATACAAGTAAAATGTTTTTTGAATTATTCAAATCGGACGCTCCGTTATCTCAAAATCTAAAATACCCTTTTTGAAACTTTTTGGCCCGTATTTCCGAAACGGCTAGACCTGCCTTTGCCAAAAACTAATCAGCACGTCTTCTTATCAGTAGGCATCGAATGTTTTTTGAATTATGCAAATCGGTTGATCCGTGTTCGCAAAATCGTCCACGAAAATTTGTATCCGCACACACACATACACACACAACCATTTTTTTCTAAAGTATGCCAAAATGTTCAGAAACTCTGAAAATAAAATATGCAAAAAAATTTCATTTTCGGGTTTTTGCGATTACTATAACTTACCCTACAGAAATTCTAAATTTAAATTAAGTGAATTTTATAGATAGATAAAATCTACAACTTACCGATAGTTTACGGGAACACCCTTTAGGAACCACTAGTATATACACATTTAGCACAACAAATGAAGTTACATAAACACCATACACCAAACACCAAACGATTTATATTAATAAACTGAACTATTTGAACATTTTGTTTAAAACTTTTTCACTCACACACACACTTTTAGAAAAAAAAGTTTTGGAAAATTTGGAAAATTCTACTAATTTTGTAAATAGATAAAATAAATAAATAAATTAAATATTACTTTATAAAATATTACATATATACACTAAATATTGTTTATATATTGTTGATAATTTTATATTAAATATAAACTGTTTATTCAAAAGATTAATCCATAATCAATGCTTGAATGTTTGAAAATTGTAAAAAATGGCATATAATTTTTTTAAAA